TCATTTTGCCCCCACAGCAAGGTGGAGAAGCATTTACAAAACTCTTTTCCACTAATCCCCGGTGCGGCAAAGAATTGTCGTCCTTTCACACCCTCCAAGTGTCGACAGAGTATCGTCGCCTGTTCACACCCTCCAAGTGTCGCCATAGTACTGTCGTCCTTTCACATCCTCCAAGTGTCGGCAGCGTATCGTTGTCATTTCACACCTTCTAAGTGTCGGCAGAGTACCATATTTTCTTCCAAGATCTTCTCACGAGCAACTAGAAAGAAGAAAAGAAGAGTGATCTAAAAAAACACAAAGATATTCTTACCTTTAAGTAATCTTGTGAACCCTTCACACTCCACTTGCAAGAAATCTCTCTCAAACACTCTCCTGTACTCTCTCTCTCTCTCTCTATCTCACTTGCTCTTGAAAATTCATGAAGATAAGACTTTTTCACGTTAGTTTTAGAATAACTTTTTATATCAAAGATATGAAAAAACATTCCAGAAAATTGAAAAATTCAATTTTGAGCATATACGGTTGTACAGTACGATCGTATACGTATGAACAGTTCAAAAACTATTACGTACGAACCTTATGTGAATCGGTATGAAACTATTTCGTACATGATGATCATCCAGTACAAACCTAGTTCGGCTATACAAACAGTAAAAAAAATTTTCATCTTCGTCGGGACGAAGAGGGACCCCACATTTTTGTACTCTGGATGGCGTACGTACGATGATGACATCGTATGGTACGATCATTTACAAAAAAAAATTCAAGTTCGTCAGGGTGAAAAGGACCCGTCAAATTCGTACGTTGGACAGTGTACGTACGATGACGACTTCGTATGGTATGAACCGTTCAGAAAAATTGTAAATTCGTCAGGACAAAAAAGGACCAGTCCAATTCGTACACTGGATGACGTACATACGATGACGACATCATACGGTACGAACCGTTCTGAAAAATAACAAATTCGTAAAGACGAAAAGGGACCGGACCAATTCGTACGCTGGATGGCGTATATACAAAGTAAGCTTCATATAGTACAAACCATACTTAGAAAAATTTTCTTCATGTTTTTCATTTGACCACTCGTAGGGGAAAATAACTAAACAAATCGTCTTGTGTGAAAAAGACTTCGTACAAAACGATCAGTTTAAAAATTGTAGATTTTAAACTCTCTCCAGGTGTGTCTGTGCACAGTTGCTCAATTACAATCACACTCTCTCAGACTCAATAAAATAAAAAAATAGGCTTCATTTATAATAAACTATAAACTGATATAACTTGAAGTCTTCAATAATCCGGAGTATGATTTCCCTTAAATGTTAGTACACACAAACAAAAAAAATAATTCATCCAAAATATGTTAGGAGAAATAATAGTCAAACTAATAATATTTGAAATCATCAAAAACATACAAGTTGCAAGAATATCAACAATCAAAAATTAAGTTGCAACTATCTCAACAGGCTACTTAGGGAAAATAAGTAGATGTGAGGCAGAAGTTTCCTTACCTTTTTTAGAAAGTTTGAGAATGTATAAAAAGTTTAATTTTTTGGAGGAAATTCTAATAAGGATGGAAGAATTGTAATACCCAACATGTAAAAAACTCAATTTTTATTTCTATTTCAAAATAATAAATTCTATAAAAATGTATTAAAATTATCACATTTTTTTACATTTAATTCATTTGGATATTTCCAATTTCTATTGATTTTAAAAATTACAGTTACTTTAATAATGTTAAACTATAGTTATATTAATTATTGCACTATTTATATCATGAATAGCAGGAGTATATCGCTCTCAGGACTTAGTGAATTCATTACTTATAGTAGCTAACTAAGCTACGGTAGCACAACATTGAGTGCAATAACTAATATAATATTCATATATTATCCACTAATGTAGGCATGCAACCATGGATGGTAAAATGTAGAGAAATAGTAAGGAGAGGAATAAGAGGAGAATGAGAAAATTTTGGAGGGAATAACGGTAAGAATTCTTATTATTATTTTATGTTTTGTTGTGAACTTTTAAATATTTATAACTTATAAGACTGTTAAAGAAACTTATATCAAAATTATATTGTTAGGATAATTTTTATTGGGTATATGAAGAGAGGAGAATTTAATTGCGAGGTAAGTTGCTAAAGGGGATGAAATGATTGTATTAAATTTCTTGGAAAATGTATTATATAAATTGTGGAAAATAAATGAAGTTGATTGTGTAGGAAATTTACAAGCAAATAAGGATACGAGGTGTTGAATTTGAGAAGACAACTTAGTAAGGGGTAAGAAATGCAATTTAATTTAACCAAATACATGTGATCATTTTTAGACTTGTATAGATACATGTCATAAAAAATAAATAATAAAAAGACAGTAAAGTTATTTTTATTTGTTAATGTGTTTATAGTTAAACAAGTATGAATGATCTCATGTAAATTTTTAAGCTTACATTGTAGTATTATATGATCAGATAAGTATTTTCCTAATTAACAATGTTTTGAAAAGAAAAACATGTTATTTTTTATTGTATATATATTCTTTTTATGCAACAATATAGTAAATAGAACATTTATATGAAAAGCATGAAGCATGACAAAATAAGAAAAATATCTTAAATTGAAACGTGATGAATATCAAATTAAAAAAGTTGACTATGAAATGTTATGATACTTACATTGTAAGTGGGGCAAAAGGGACCCCGAATTAGGCAAAATGGTCCTTTATGAAATTCAATGAGTATAATGTCAGATTTTCCTAGAATCCATTGAACATTCTTATGAATGTTAACTATATGAGAAATAATAGCCAAAACTCCTTAGAAGCCTAATTATGATATTTTGTACGGCTTCAAATGATATAAAATATAATGCTAAATGAGATTTATATGTTGTTTACAATTGTTTGCGAGTTAAATTTAGTTATGATTTTAATTATGTTAATTTCATTAATCTTTTATTTAATTTTTTATTTAAATTACATAACTTTATGAGCTTCATAGCTCACCAAAATTTCATTCTAACTGTTGCTACAGGAAGGGGCAAGGATAAAGCAAAAGTTGAATAGCCTCAGGTCACTATAAAACTTTATTTTTTGTTTCATGTCTGTGTATGTGAGTTTACAACAGATGTATGTAGATTGTTTATTAATATATATTTTGGAGTTCATAGGATTCTATATATATTCAAATATGAATAAAATGAGATATTTTGGATGTTTCCGTATATTGAGGAATATACCAAACGACGACTTAATATAAATTTATAATGATGGGTTCTAAATTAATGATTTTTTGTTCTTCGTTGCACACTATATTGCCCCCCCCCCCCTGGTGGTGGTGGTTTGGGCCCCATGACATATCAATTGCCCATTAATGATCCAAATGACAAGCATTAAAATTTTGTTGTCAGCAGCTCTGGGGATTGGCATTGCAGTATTATCTTATCTATTTTTTTATGTTAAGCTAATAGAGCGTTGCTATGCTTATGTCTTAAGTGTTGTAGTGCTCACACAATCATTTTTTTTATATAAATCTATTTTGTTAAAATTTCACCACCAGCATTTCCACCACATTCTCTTGCATGGTTGGGTGAAGAGAAAATGAGGAGAATAAGGAAGAGAGAGAAGGACGAAAGAGGTGAGAGAAAGTAGAGCTTGAGCTAATATTTTTCATCACTCTAGCTATAAAGCTATTCTAATCATGAAATTTTATTATATGTTTGTTTTCAATGATTCTAATTCTTAAGATTTCTCTCTCTCCAAATATGTTTAAAATGCATTATTTCTCAAATTTGTAAGTTTCCACTTTGTAACTTTTGATATATACAATATATTGTCATCCTAAATGTTTTGATATGTTTATATTGAGACTTAACATGTTTGTTTTGTACATGCCTTTTTCATTTGAAATAAGTAAGGTAAGAAGTATGAAATGCTCATGAGTCAATATAATAAATCTGGATATGAAATACATGATATGCATAAAGTTATGATTCATTTGGATATATGTATTTTGATTAGTACATTGGATTAATTTACATTATATGATGATTGTATTAAATGACATGTCAATTGCTATTGTATGATGAATGTGATTATACATGTTTGTGTAAACATAAAAGGTTAGATATAAATGATTAACTTATTCAAATTGGCTAGATAAATGTTATTATGTACAAAATGGTAGGCCAACGAGCTTTTCTTTAAATAAGATATTTGCTGTAATTCTAAAGGATATGAAAATAAAGTCATAAAAAGATTGAGTTATATGATATGTACATCAATGAACTATAAGAGACGTTCTAATATGAAAGCCACATAACTGTGATTGAGAATGATATGATTGATTCTTGCATACATGGATGAGATGATTGAGACTAATTCCTATAGAGCTAGCATACATGACATAATATAAAAAAATACCACAAAAACCAAATGTTTTGTCTTGCTTATAATATAATATGTGTAGATGATAGAAGTTCATGCATATTGATAAAATATGGCACGACAAGATAAGTGCATAATGATATAATTGATAGGAGCATATTATAATATTGATATGACAAACATAATAATACTTGATACACATGATACATTATATTTTACATATATTATTCATGAACATGATATGTTGCACTAGTACCATACAATAAGCATAGAAAAATAGACATAAAACACATGATATTAAATGATATGTATACTGATAAATATGACATATATAACTATTCAGTTATAATTTAAATAAATAATCATTTAATTACCATTTTCACAAATTATTTCAAAAATTTTATATATTATTTTAATTAAATTTTTTTATTAATCATACTTATAATTATCTACTTAATCAATAATATATTTTATTATTAGCTAATTATTTAATTAATATTTACACTGCCAATCACTTAATCTAATATTTACATTTTAAATTATATTACTTAAGCTAATGAAATTAATACCTAATTAAAAAATTAAGAATTAATCTAATTCGGCTTCCCATTTCCCGTAAGGTAGAGCTTCCCCTTCGGCTTCGCTGGTCCGCTCCGGGTCGCGTGAGATAGAGCTTCGAACGAGTCCTTGCCATTGTCTGTCAAGCGTCTGCTTTTCCTCTTCTAGATTTATTCGTTGATGTTCTGCTTCGCGTGAAGTAGAGTTCTCAAATAGTCGACGTTTCTTCTCCTCCTCCTCCGTCGTTGTTACTGTCGGATCGGAAGCCGCGCCGGGAGCTCGCCGCGAAGGTAACGATCCGTTTCGCGCGCTTATTTTGTCGGATTTAGGAAATCCGGGATTTAGGGCGAAAATCGCCGTGACGTAGAGATTAGACTTAACATTTAACTTTGTATTCTTTTAAGCGTTTGGCAGGATTTAGCTCAAAATTTTCCTAAAAATATGGCCTAAATTCTGCATCCAAACATGCCTTAAATTTCTCGCTCCTTCAGGTTGACGTCGTCCAGTCGGCCCTGCCGACGATGGCCGACTTTCTCTCCCGGTCGCCCCCTTCAGTTGCCTCTTCTATGCATTATCTGGCGCTCTTCACTTACTAAACCATCTTATATCCTTTGTTCTCCTTTTTCACTGTTTCGTATCTGCTCACCACTGTTTCTTGGGCCAATTTCAGATTTCTGAGATTTTGAAGTATACAAAATCATTGCCTCCCTGCAAGTTCCTGCATTAGTTGTTTGCCATTTGCTCTTGAAAATATTTCCATGTCTACTGATATTTGGATTTTGCTGCTTGAAATTCTATTTGGTTGTCTAATTAGTTCGATGTTTTTATAGAAGGTCTAAAATCTGTTGGATCCTAATAGATAAGACTAGGGGCAATATAGAGCAGCATTTGAGAGAGTTGGGCTTAACTAAGGATCAAAGTTATGGATGTTTGCTGGAGCTAGGGGTGTAACCGAGGTGAGCCGAGCTCGAGTCACCCCTGACTTGAGCTTAGTTAATTAATCGAATTTGAGCTCAAGCTTTATTTTACGAGTTTTAGCTAGCTCATGAGCTGGATTGTTTATTATAAAAGAAAGAAAATGATTATGATTTAAGCAATTATTATAATAACATGGTAAAAAATATTAAAAATTATAAAAAATAAATAAAAAATCACTTGATATAAGAAAACGAGATATAATTCTTAAACATTTTTAATAGTTTTGTACTTAAAATCTTGAATCTTAATATATTTTAAGTATATTTTGTAAACGAGTCCGCTTGTGAGCCAACGAATCGAGTTGGGGCTGGCTTAAGCTTGGCTTGTTAGCTCATTGAGTTTGGCTCACTAGCCAAACCCGAGCCAGCTCACGAGCTGAGCCTGAGTTGGCTTGACTGACTTATACCCCTGAATGGAGCCAAGCTCAAATCCATTTGAAAATTATAAATTTTGAATCAAGCATTGGGGAATGTTGAACCCCATCAACTATACATTTTTAAAAATTCTATATGCATGTAACACCCAATTTTTGCATGATAAAAGTGCAAAATTACTCAATTAAATTATACCCACAGCACAAACTTTCACAAAAATCATTAAAAAACACTATTTTGTTATAGTTGTCAAAATCATTAAAAACTATTTTCTTAAAAAAAATCAATATGTCCTAATTACCATTTTCCCCTGCTCTAAATTCTCATTTATTAGACTCTCTTGCCATTCTTCCATTGCTGAACTCCTTGGATTCACATGCATTTTCTCTATTTCATCAGAAGACGAGCCATCTTGAATGTTGAATTAAGTTTGAGCTTGCACTCGTTTAATTAGTAAAGTTTCAGCTCAAGTTTGCAGTGTCTGGAACTCCCGTAGGTGTTTTGTATTTTTATGATGCCAATTTCCTTTGTGATAAGTGAAATCAAAATATTGTAGTTGTATACGTTTTAGTTATGTTATAATATAATCTGGATGACATGTAAGAGATTAATTTTCACTCTTTATTGATGATTATTTTAGCTGATAAAGTCAAAAAAGTATTTCCTTCAACATTTAATTAACCATAATAAATGTTGGAAATCATCCACTTTTTTGATTGACTTATGGTTGTTGATAATAAAAATACGGCATAGCATTTTGATACAGAAAGTGAATAGTTCAGCTCATATTTTTGGAAAAAATTAATTTAGTTGAATATCTTCCTTAATAAACTCCATGTTCACTGAGTTTGTAAATCGCTTTGCAATTAAATATTAATGTAAAGTTTAATGGTAGTTGGGAAAGATAAATTTGAATGATGACATTAGAGGGGTTTGTTGAATCCAAATTAGTTATTCAAAATGATTTAGAATCAGAATAATGAACTTAAGGATTTTCTTTTGTTAAGTATTAGGTTATTTTTAGCTCCTTCATTTTAATTAATATTACTCTATTCCTTTTCTTGTCCTAGAGAGTTGTGTTCTGTACTCGCTGACTTTTTTTTTATATGATGAACAATTTATGTAGGAGTTACATGATCTTGAGAAGAAATGAGAAATGCAAGCAAATATTGAAAGATACCTTAAGAAATATTGTGGCCATTTGAATTATTCAGATCACTAAATTTGGTGAGTATTTGAGTATCCTCTTTATAAGATGATTTTTTTTTCTTGAGGTTTGGAGGATTTTATTTTTCCCTAGAATGGACACCATGTTATTTTATTGCGTCTATCAGATGTTCTTTTTATGTTTTCCACATGATTTCAATCTAGAAGGTTGACCAAACCAATCAAACTTTGTCATGAAAGTTGTAGCAGCTCACATTCTTGGTTGATAACAATTACATTGTATGGCATTATGTTAAGCTTCACTAATGGAATATTTCCTTCCATTGGTTACATCCAGAAGTTATAGGAAAAAGATCATGTAGTTATGTTCTATTACCCACAAATACATCATGTGGAGGATCATTAGGAAAAATATCCAACGATGATACCCTGCTATGTATCTTCTTATTTTCTTAATGGTTCAAATGCCTTTGATCATACGGAGTTCATGTAATTGAGTTTATCCATGGATCCTAGCAAGTTGTTAATGATGCTAACGATGGCATATGGGCTTTTTTTTTGAAGAATTATTATCTTTCACACTTATTTTAGGAATTGTTAGCGATCATGTAAACTCATTATTGGAGTTAGTCCTATTATGATTATTGATCAATAATCAGTGATTTTTTTTTTCAGTACAAAAGCCAACATTTTAGATATAGTTCCTTTGACATTTCTATGATATATGCAATAGGAACTCTTATAATGCATCGTGTGGCTAGTGCTGGTAACACGTCTAATTCAACTCGACCTCGGAAGGAGAAACGGTTAACGTATGTGTTGAAGGATACAGATGACACAAAGGTCCATGTTTCCTTCTCCATTCTCCTTAATTCTTTATGGAATATATTTGTGTGTGTGGGTATGATTGCTTCCGCATGGGTGTTTATATGTATGTGTACAATATTATTATCTATCCGCATCAAATTTCGCTTGGCCATTATTTCATCCCTTCCTGATGATAGATCACTTAAATTTCTGGTTTTTGCAGCATTGTGCAGGCATTAATTGCTTGTCTGTTTTAAAATCTTCATCTAGTAGCTGTGATTATCTTTTTACTGGAAGTAGAGATGGAACATTAAAAAGGTGGGCCATAGCAGATGATCAGGCTAGCTGCTTTGCAACATATGAGTCACATGTTGATTGGGTATGATCTTGAACATGAACTTTGGTATTTTTAAACATCTATGGTAGATGAAAAATTTATTTTCTTAGAGTTTGTCTTATATATATTTTTTACATTTTAGGGTCATTCCCAGCTACTCATACAGCAGCATACATTTTTCAGTTTAATTTTTGATTTATCCGTTACCATTTATTGATAAATTTAATCTGCAAAATCTTTCTGTTTTTTTGGTTCTATCAACATGATTCTGTTATCATCAGTACTTATATCATCCTGTTTGTAAAGTTTCTTTTTTTTTTTCTGAGCACGAGCTTTTGCAAAATAGATAATCTTTGTGTACTTACTTATCATAGTGCACTTTTATTTCAGGAGTAACTTTTGTAATGTGATATAAATTGAAATAACCTTTTGAGTTTGTTGTTTTATGTTGTCGTTTAGAATGTAATGTCTTGCATAAATTTTTTGTGTAACCATTTTCTTGTTCAATAAGTATATTTGGTTTTATAGCCTTTAGAGGTAAGAGCAGGTTGGTAAAATGGAGAAGAGTATTATGTGAGATGTTGATCATGGAGACTTAAAGATTAATTTTATGAAAATATGATTAAGTCGGTGATGTTGTTAGTGACGTAATGTTGGCCTTTTAAAAATTCATTGGTAGCTAAGTTGAGCTTGTAAAAATGAAAATTTTACTTTGATGTGTGACAAACCAGAATATATAAATCAATAAATTAGAGAAAAAAATTGGACTAAGATTTAGTGAATATAAAATAGTTGAGAGTAAATTAGGTGGTTTGGACATGCACAATAAAGTGTGAAAATCATACTTATTAAACGAATAATAAAATTATTGAGGAAAAATGTACGGGTTAGATGGGCAGAAGTTCAAAGTTATTGTGAAGAATAGGTTTATGTTTTGTTATGTTTTGGCTACTTCCCTGATGATTGTTCTGTTTTACATGATAGTATCAAACTTATGTTAACCATCAAAATTTCTTGTAATGCAGGTTAATGATGTAGTTCTTGCTGGTAACACCCTAGTTTCATGTTCCTCAGATACAACTGTCAAGGTTTTTGCTTTCACCAAAGAAGGTAATTTGGCTATTATGGTTGTGCGCTTTATTAATCCATTTTATGTTGCAGGTCTGGAATAGTTTGTCGGATGGTGTTTGCACCCGAACCCTTCGTCAGCATTCTGATTATGTTACCTGCCTTGCTGCTGCTGAAAAGAATGTAATTCTTTTACAATATGAAAATGTCTTCAATTTATCTGTGTGTGTGTTTTTTTTTTTCTGTTTTGATTAATTTTTCTCCTTTACCCTTATATTGAGGTGGGGTTTCATAACTATTCTCTTCTCCATTTACATTGACATTTGTTTCTCTAGGTTTCTTATCCTTTTCTAGTATATTGTATTTTAGAGCAATGTTGTTTCTTCTGGGGGACTTGGTGGGGAGGTTTTTATATGGGACATTGAAGCAGCAGTTCTTCCGGTTGCCAAATCTACTGATGTTATGGATGATGAAGGCTCCAATAAACTGATTAATTCAGGAAACTTTGGACTTCCCATGACAAGTTTACGTTCAGTTACATCAAGTAACATGTCTGTGAATAACGCACAATCACATGGTTACAATCCTACTGCAGCCAAAGGCCATAAAGAGTCTGTATATGCCCTAGCGATGAATGATAGTGGAACTTTACTTGTTTCTGGAGGAACTGAGAAGGTGCATTTAGTTTCCTATTGGTTGTATCTTCATTCCATGCCAACATTAGTGGAGGAGCTACTACAGCTGTTTTTTTTTAATTGTATTTTTGCAGTTGTCTGCCCTTCTCTTATTTAAGCTGTTCACTCCTTTTCTTTAGGTCATTCGTGTTTGGGACCCCAGAACTGGTTCAAAGAATATGAAGCTAAGAGGGCATACTGATAATATTAGAGCTTTGTTACTTGATTCTACTGGAAGGTCAGTAGATGCATTGTTCCTTTATATCTTCTTACGCAAATACTTTTGCAGTACTCCGTTAACTGCCTGTATAAAGCATTGATCTGCTGGTTATTACCATTGCTAAGAACATAATTCAACATTTTCTTGCTTACATTTGGTTCTTGTAGCCAGCCGTTTTCTGAGTAGATGACTTACCTATGTTTAGTGAGGATTAGCTTTCTTGGTTTCTATTGTGTCGTGCTGGAAAGTAGACTGTTATAATTTAATAATTGGATGTTGCAGGGTCGTATCTAATTGTAGTGCTGTAACTAAGAGGACACATTTTGTTTCTTAATAGAGATTCTTTATAATTGTGTCAGGCTTGCAATTACTTGTTAATTGAGTCATGCTTAATTGGTTACAGTGTTTCCAAAAAATTTAGACTTAGACTCAATTCTTCCAAACAGGTTTATCCATACGAATTTTTTACTATCACCATTTTACAAATGAATGATGACCCGAGAAAGTGGTCATTTTTATGAATGACAATTTTGCAGATTATAAAATTATATTTGAAATGGACTTGGTACATTAATATCAAATTTGCCATCACTTCATCTTTGGGCTTGATTGTGGCGTATGCCACCCTCATAATTCTGCATAGAAAATGCACGTCAAACATGCATAATAACATTAAGACAGTTTTATCATTGTTTTTATTGTTAGGTTGGGAGGGGCTTGAAAAGGACTTAGGTGGAAAGTAACAATGCTTGTAGTTCTATAGTTTGTTCTAAATGATACATTCCAATTGCTTCTTTAATAGCAAAATTATTGCTGAAAGCTATACAAATTCTATTTTTTTAATCAAAATTTACATCATGTGATGTTATCAGGTTTTGCTTGTCTGGATCCTCTGATTCCATGATACGGTAACTATTCTCCGTTCTCTCTCTATTGCGTTGCCATTTCTTTAAGCAAACAACGAAATGATTGTTGCCCTTGGTGAAATTAAATAGGATTGGGATCACATTTGAAAATTTATTTCTTTCCGTATTTTTTTGTGGTTAATTATATTGTAAAAATGGTTTGTAAAATCAAATATCTCTTAGCATGCCATTGCTCTGTTCTTGCCAATGCTGGACATGTAAAATGGTTCAATTTTCATGTCTTGTTTGGAATATTTCTCTCTTATTATAACTTTTTTCTCACGCTGAAAGTAAGGCTTTCCTTAGAATGTGCTGATGGTGCCTTTCTTTTTTATCGATATAGGTTGTGGGATCTTGGTCAGCAACGCTGTGTGCATTCTTATTCCGTGCATACAGATTCAGTCTGGGCACTTGCCAGCACACCATCTTTTTCTCATGTTTACAGTGGTGGGAGGGATCTTTCTGTGAGTAATATGTTTCCCGTTGTTTTGAGATAATCTACTTGTGCCTTAGTTTATGCTGTCGTGCCTAACTTATTTGTTGTTTTGGTTGCTTTGCTTATTTTCTCAGTTATACCTTACAGACTTGTCAACTAGAGAGAGTATTCTGTTATGTACAAATGAACAGCCGGTTCTGCAACTAGCTTTGCAAGATGATGGCATATGGGTCGCAACAACTGACTCATCAGTTCATAGATGGCCAGCTGAAGGAAGTCACCCTCAAAAAGTTTTTCAAAGAGGTGGTTCGTTCTTAGCAGGAAATTTGTCATTTTCAAGGGCAAGAGCTGTTTTAGAAGGATCAACTCCCGTAAGATTGGAAATTTCTACTGTTTCTTATCTATTAAGTAAATATACCTTATGCACGTTACATGAATTATTTATTATGCATGTATATATTTGTGCGTAAGTTCTTTCAAATAAATATACTTTTACTACTAAACATGAATATGATGTAGTCCACTTTTTTCACGGACCTGATAGTTCCATGTGCTATGAACTCATTTTGGTGGTGTTATGCACAACCTCTGCATGTATGGATGCGTGCATAGGCTCTATCCAACAAATACCCTTTTGCTATGAAACATAAATGTGATATCATCAACTTATGACAAAATCTGATAGTTGCATATGGTATTAACTCTTTTCCATGGTGTTCTACGCTACTAAGCAATTTTGATACTGTAAATTTGTAACATTTGTTCAGTTTTTTGAATAGCTTTCTTGAGAATATAGATGTTTAATAAGTTATTGTAACTATTAGGTTTGATCATTAGGTTTTTGTGTCCACTTGTTTCTCATTTTTCTATGGTGGGCGCAGATTATACCTGCTTTTAGTGATTTATGGTTTCTTATACAATAAGTCTGCTTTAGTGATTTATGGTTTCTTATACATCTTATTGTTATCGCTTAGATTTTATTGTTATCACTTACACCGAGTAGTGTGGAATTTACAAGCTTTGCTAGTCATTTATTAGCATATTTAAGTCATTAGTTTGATTAAAGTTTTTTTGAGATGTTTTTATTATTTAATATATTTTTATTCTCTTTCCATGATTTCCTTTCTACCTCACCAGTCTGGATGAATAGGAATCTTGATGATGACATCTGACCATGGAAAGTTTACCAGAGATGAGGCCATCGATCTACGGCCATGATCGCACCACTTTATTTTTGAGTTATTAGTTGTATTTGATTTATTGTTGTTTATTTTTTGATTTTACCCTCACTTGAGGGAGTAGGTGCTTGTGATCCCAGGGGGCACTTTTTTCTTTTGTTTTATTATTGTACTTTGGGCTATTTATAGCCTCCTCTTATTCTTGTGATGGTAAATGATGATTATGAAGAAAATTTTTCTGCACTTTGTTTATGAGTTGTGAGAGTTCTTGAGAGAGCTTGCTTGAAGTCCATAGGTGAGGGCAACGGAATACCCACCAGCCGCAAGAAGTGTCCGGGCTCGTGATCTTCTTCCTCCGCCATCTCTTTTTCTTCCCTCCAACCTTCTAGACGCCGGCCTAATAAGACCCCTCTCCTCTTCCTAGCCGTCGGCCCTTAGACCACCATCCTATTAGCTGTCGGCCACAAAGGCCTTGCCCTCCCCTTAGTCACCGGTCCACACATCAAGCTCCAATCCCAACCCTAACCCTACCCTAGCCGCCAGCCACAACTCCCCTTTGCCTCCAAATTTCAAATTACCACATTATTGTTTCCCATGTGCAAATCACATTAGGAAAGTATTAAAAGCTTATTCCTTTCATTCGAAATTTGAAATTCTTTCCTAATCTACTATGCTTATTTTAGGAAAGTTACTTAAATCAATTTTTTTTGAATTTTAAATAAGTTTTGATTTGAAATAATCTTTCCTAATTTAAGGTTTTAAGAAGGCAAGTTTTAAATCCCCACCTAAAGCCCCCCTCTTGCCCCAAGCATGCCGCCGGCCCCCTCCTTCCCTCCCTCTATCCTATATTAATTCCCTTCCCCCTTTGGAGCCCTAATCAACTCCCTCATCAAAGGAACACCTTTCCTTTCCCTCCTCATTCGAAATTCAAAATTCAAAACCTCCAATCCCCTCCCAATCAAATCTAAAATTAAAGTTCAGATTTTGGGAAATACTCCCCTCCCTTTCTCTTTACACGCCGGCCCCCTCTCTCTTTCCCCCCTTCCTCTTTGCTCTTTCAAATTAATTTCCCTTCCAACTATTCCTCCTCCGGATTAATTTCAGATTTTTTCAATTTTCTGAAATTAATTTCAGATTTACTAATTGATGTCTTTCCTACCACACTTCCACAAAAATCTGAAATTTCATGTTCTACTTCCTTTCTCCATTGTATGGCGGATCCTGAACAAGACCACGGATTTGTCTACGACGATCAAGGACAAATTGATATCCTCAAATCTACATTCTTTGACGTAAACTTGGAGATCAAACAAACCGTTGAAGATTACGTCGAAAGGATTATCTTCTCCTTCGCCGCCGCAATCGATGAACAACTTTCTCCCATTAAGTGGCAAATTGTCTCCAAATCTTGATAAAGGTGAGCCTCTTCTCTAAGTCTTTGCTTTTCTAAGTCTTCTCTTTCATTTGTGGCATCATAAAGATTGTGCAATCTATCTCCGTTTAGCCCATATCAAGAGTGTGAGTGAGTGAATCCGATTAGTGCCTAATCTATATGTTAACATAGGGATTTCTTTTGAACTCCTCCATGCAATGCTAATTGTGATTGGAACTGATTATTTGTGATTCTAACTTTTATCTTGTAATTTGTCCTAAGCTTAAATCATCTCTTTGTTGTTTTAGTATTTGTTTAAATCGTTAAAAGTAAACGTAATTATTGTTGCTCTAATTAAAAGGCGAGCATTACATATTTACTCACGCATCTTAATTCTACATCAAAGCTTTAGCTGTGTATTTGTTCTACCCGTGAATGATTCTACAATGATGATGATGTATAAAATCCTTTGCTGATTGATGCAGGATGTATTGACATCTAATATTTGACAACAACAAAGCCCAATGATTTACTAAGATGTAAAAGCAATAAAATAAACCAATTATGTTCTGAATGAAATGTTAAGTTCTCTATATGATAAATGCAGAAGAAGGATCAAACATGCAAAAAAATGATGAAACAACCAAGAGGCCAAATCCAATTGTGGATCTAGTTTGATGCAAATAACAAGTATCCAGGATTTAGTGACCAAAAGCAGTAGAAACTATATTCCTAGATTCTAGAAGATGCAAGAGGTCAGGTATTCCATTCCTGCCGATTCCTTGTAGATGTTGCTTAATCTAGATCTCTTGCAGTGTGCTGATGATGACTGATTTGCACGCCCAAACTGGGAACATATTAAGAGCAGGCATGAATACGATGGAAAAGATGAGAGCATGAATAAATAAAGGGAAAATGCCAAGAATTGAAATGGCTAGGTCTGATTCCTCCATCCTTTTTAGGCTTTCATGGGCTTCATACATTAGAAAAAGTTGATTCACCAAGAAGGGTTTCTACATCAATCATAGCATTTTAAGTAAAATAAGACAACCTTTGCATACCGGAGATAAAACATGCTATGCATTTTTATGTGATGGACAATCTATTCCTGCTTTAATGTAGCATAATTTGAAGAAATAGATAACCATTTTCTAGTTTTTGGTGCATTATTCTTTGGCATACCCTAAGATACAACACTTCCAGTGAAACTTAGTCTGTTCCATTATTTCCTGTAAAATGTTGTTTTTTTGCCTCCAGAAAACCCTAAAATGTCATTTTAACCTGAGGTCATATCATTTAGAAGTTTCAAAATGCAGACTGAAAACATATATCAAACTTCACTTTAAATCAAGTAAAATAAAGATGCAGGGCAATTAGTCTATTTTTCTTCTAATGATTACATAATTATAGTTCTAAATCAATGCTCCGTGGCTCAAAAATTTTACCCTAACAAATGTTAGTACTGATATAACTTAAGCATCTTTGGGATATGCCATTGAACTCCTCTATGGATAGTGCGTGCTACCAAAGGAAGGTCTACCCAATCCCTTGTTAAGGTACCTCTGAAATTTTTGATCTTGAGGTGGAATGACATGCTAATCAAGCTCGGGATGTTGCTCCTACCTCTGCCAACCAAGTTGCCAAAAAGACAATAAGAGCATTGGCATCCATGCATGTCAAGGTATGAGTATACTAGTATCAATTATCAACTCACTTCTTAGGTCCAATCAGCTTCATAGAGTGCTAGGCTACTATTGACATTCCTGTGAGATTTGGGGTATGCCATTTAACTCTATGGATAGCAAGAGTTACCATGGGAATGTTTACCCACCACTTATCATGGTACTCCTGAAATCTTTGACCCTGGGGAGGAATAATATGCTATAATCAAGAATGTCCTAGCATTGTAGCTCATGCTTCTGCAGCAAAGTTGCCAAAAAAATAGTATAGGCATTGACATACCATGGATATGAAGTTATGGGTATATTGGTATCAATGCCCAGCTGTCATTTAGGCTCAATCGCCTTCATTAATTGCTAGACTAGTATTGACATTCTTGGAAAATTTATCTCAATGCATCACTTATTGTCAGTTTTGGTATGAATTGTCCATGAAGCTCGCTTGTTAGCCTATTTTTGATATGGGCAACAAAATATTAAAGTGACGAACAATGAGAATATATTTTGGTGTAAGGCAGGGGAGTTCCCTCCTAAAAAACACTAATAACTTCTATGACTAATTGATTCAAATTTATACCTATCATTGTTTACAACAAGATTTAAGTATTGTTGGCTTTCAGAGTATGCATATATTTTGCAAATGACTCAATAAAGTTGCCAAGCTTTGTTATAAGTTTTCAATCTTCTTGGATATTTACTCATGACAATCTAAAATGTAATCATGCTCGTAATATATTGGCTAAATTGTTTTTCGTAATGATCACCTAATTTTAACTTGACTTGTGATCTTTAGCCAGATACTATATTATTATTATTATTATTATAGAATATTTCCTACTAAACATCACAACATATATCACCAAACTCTATTAAGCCCTTCATTTCATCATCATATGGGAATGATGAGCTGTGGAAATTGAAATCCTGATATCCATTTTATTTGAAACTAATTTTTGGAAGATCACGGGTCCTCATTGTAGATGTCGGGTTTAGAGATGTTGTTAAGTTGCTTCTCCTGTATTATAGAGGCCCTAGGTTCAAGTTGTGAAAATACAAGAGAGGTTGTACATATCATCCTCTCCCTAAACCTTGCATTGGCGGGAGTTTCATGCGATTTGCATGCCCTTATGGACCTTTTGACT